CAGAAGAAACTCTGAAGATTGCACTGGAGCGTAGAGAGGCCATTTTGATTAGAGTGTGGAAATTTTCAAGTGATATCACTAATACCACATGCAAGCAAAATGCTGCTGAAGATTTTTCAAAAGTGACTGGAATAATCCATTGACAGAAAACTACAAGAAGTATATGAATCAGGGCTTTATAAGAAAGAGTCTGGCATCAGGATTGGAGGAAGACTCATTAACAACCTGTGGCAGGCAGATGACACAACCTTGCATGGTGAAATTGAGGAGCACCTGAAGCACTGCAAAAGGTCAAAGACTGTAGTCTTCAATATGCATTGAAGCTCAACATCAAGAAGACAAAGATTCTCACCACTGGGTCAATGGGTAGCATCATTATTAGATGGAGAAGAGATTGAGGCTGTTAACAATTACAGCTTGCTCAGATCCACAATCAACGCTCTTAACACCAGCATTTAGAAAATCAAAAGACAAATTGCACTGGGAAAATCTGCTGCCATAAACTTCTCCAGAGTGCTGAAGAGCAACGATGGCAGTCTGGATACAAAGGTGAGCCTAATCCAGGCCATGGTCTTCTTAATTATGTGTTATGCTTTAAAGAGATGGACAATGACTAAGGATAACAGAAGAAGAATAGATGCCTTTGAGTTGTGGTGCTGGAGAAGAGTCTTGAACATACCATGGACTGCCAAGTAAACAAATAGGTCTGTCTTGGAGTGAAGCCAAGCCTTTCCTTGGAGGCTAGGATTTTGAAGCTTCACCTCACTTATTGTGGGCACAATCACCAGGAGAGATCGGTCCTTGGAGAAGGATCATGCGTGGAAGGGTGGATGGACAATGCAGGAGAGGGAGACCCAAGATGAAATGGATTGATACAGTAACTAGGGTGATGGGGGTTGGTTTGTCGGAGTTAGTGAGACTGGCTTAGGATGGAGAATGGTTCAGAGCTGCAGTACATAGGGTCGCTATACATCGCAAGTGACTCGATAGCATATAAAAACAATAGGAGTGGCATCCACTTTCTAAATAGCATGCCTCTGGAAACCCTATGAACTTTGATAATTGTCAATAGTTGTAGAGAGGCTTCAAGCCTTTTGTTCATAGGGTCACTATGAGTCGTGCTCGACTAGAAGGCAATAATAATAATTTTTAAAAATCACTAATACCACATGCAAGTGAAATGCTGCTGAAGTTCCAAAAGTGACTGGAACAGGACATTGACAGAAACTACCAGAAGTATAAGCTGTGTTTGTAAGAGGCCGTGGCACTAGGGACATCATAGCCAATGTTAGATAGAACTTGGCCAAAAGCAGAGAGTACCAGAGGAATTGATACAGTTGCTGGGGCAATAGGGGTAGGTGAGACTGGCTCAGGATAGCACAAGCTTCAGAATGGCTGTACATAGAGTCGCTGAGTCACAGGCGACTTGATGGCACATAACAATCACCACCACCACCATATACCAAGCACCTATCATAGGTCAAGCCCTACTCTAGGGAAGCAGCAGTGAAGAAAATACATTTCACTGATCTTGTATTAATATATCAGGAGGAGGGAAGAAGATGGTGATACACAAAATGAATTTATAAGAAATGTATTAGATGTTAGAAGTATAAAAAAAAATAATTAGTGCCCCAGTTACTGTATCAATCCATCTCATCCAGGGTCTTCCTCTCCTGTGCTGTCCCTTCATCTTTTTGAGCATGATGTCCTTCTCCAAGGACCGATCTCTCCTGGCCACATGCCCAAAGCAAGCGAGATGGAGCTTCAAAATCCTAGATTCAAGGAGAAACTTGGTTTCATCCTCTCCAAGGAACTCAGATATGTATTTAATGAATAAGTGAAATAATTAATTTTAAGTATCAAAATTCTAGAAGGAAAAGCTATTCATATTGATTACCTGACCTGAAGCACTTGCTGTAGAAGGTCAAGGACTGCAGCCTTCAATATGGACTGAGGCTCAATATCAAGAAGACAAAGTTTCTTACCATTGGGCCAATTGGCAGCATCAGGATGGATGGTAAAGAGATTGAGATTGTTTCACAGCTTTAGTTTGCTTGGCTCCACTGTCATCAATCTTGGCACCAGAAGCCAGGAAATTAAAAGGCATTTTGTGATGGGAAAGTCTGCTGTTAGAGACCTCTCCAAAGTACTAAAGGGCAATGGTGTCACTCTGGAGACTAAGATGCACCTGATACAGGCTATGGTCTTTGCAATCATTTGCTATGTGTTGGAGAGTTGGATAGTGACTAGGGAGGATAGAAAGATAATTGATGCCTTTGAGCTATGGTTTTGGAGAAGAGTATTGAATATACCACGGATTGCTAAGAAAATGAACCGGTTCGTCCTGGAGAGGGTTCAACAGGCAGCTCCTTGGGGCTTCCTTCTGAAGCTTCATCTGACATACTTTGGACATGTTGCAAGGAGGGACCTTGGAGAAGGATATCATGCTTGGGAGGGTAGAGGGACAGCGCAGGAGAGGAAGACCCTTTATGAGATAGATTGATTCAGTGACTGGGGTAATGGAAGTAGGTGTGTCAGAGACAATGAGATTGGCACCGGATAAAGCAGGGTTTAGGGCTGTTGTACATAGGCTGCTATAAGTCTCAGGCAACTCTGCAGCACATAAAAACAACAACAACAACAACCTGTAAGAATTACATTGACCTATTATAACTTTTAAATTTTATATTTCTTGCAATCTAACTTTTAAAAACATTGCATCTTTTTTGTTATAATAAAAAGGATAAAGATATGTGTCAAAATGAAATGGCAGATCATATATTTTTATTAAGATGTTATTTTTAGATTACTTCTTGACACAAACAGAAATGCTACCACTTATTAAATATCAACTACTAGATAATTTAAATATTTAATTTAATGTTGATCTCATAACAATCCCATTATTGAAGTATTCTTATCAACAGATAAAGAACCTGTGATTAATGATGTTAAGCAACTTATCTGCACAATGTTAGCTTATGTGTTAGCTTGGTTTAAACCTAGCCATTCTGCCCTTTTAAACTCATGTTCTTTTACAATATGCTATCCCATCTCCCACCAAAAGCTAAGAAATCAGCTCACGTTGCAACTTCTTTTGACCAGACAAATCTTGTAGCCAGCTTTCGTCTGTTTGTATTGCTTCTGGAATTCCTGGATACAAACTTTGATAGACAATCCTGAAATTTAGAAGAGACATTGAGTTAGCCTAGTGGCATCCACTTCTTAAATAACATGCCTCTGGAAATTCTATGTACTTTGAGAAACAATAGTAGTTATAGAAAGGCTTCAGGTATTTTGTTCATAGGGTTGCTATGAGTTGTGCTCGACTGGACAGCAATCAATAACAACAACAAAATGAGTTGTTAAGTAATGGTGACTAATGTTACTAATGTGCACTGTTAATTGAAAGGTCAGTGGCTCCAGGCTGTTTCCTTTGAAAAGATTTATAGTACTGGAAGCTGGATGGGGTGCTATTACGACTCAGAATCAACTTTAAATTTTATTATTTTGTGTGTGTGTACCATCAAATCGGATCTGACTGGTACAAGAGAGATTGCCCCTCCTTTTCCAGCAAAGCATCTGGTGGATTTGAACCGCCTATGTCTGGGATTGCAGTGCAGTTTCTTGCCACTAGGCCACCAGAGCTCTCTTTACCTATTTTTTAAAATAGAATGCATTTTAACAATCAAATAGCATTTATACAAAGATTCAAAATCCTGATTAGATTTCCTGTGAATTCTCCTTCTGGTAATTTTTCAAAGGCAGTAAGCTGTGCAGGAACAGACTGTCCATGCCGTGGAGTAGCTGATGCATTTGAACCGTGTCCCTTTGGATAGGCAGCACAACTTCTAACTGCTCGGCCATCAGAACCTCTTCTAGCAGAATTAGCTCAAGCAAATACAATGACTTTGTATTAAGTCTAATCTTTGGAACTCATTCTTTTTTATGTCTGCGGGAATCTCACTTCCACCACTATCTAGTCCAATGTGTCTCACAAGAAGCCCTCCAACAGGTGTCCAAGACTATAAACTTTTAGGGGAGGAGACTGCCCATCTTTCCCCAGTGGATTACCTGGTGGATTCAAACAAACAATCTCTTGGTTAGTAGCTTGATCTTATTACTTGCTAGTGTAGCAGAGTTCCTACATCTTATTCTTCTTCTCAGGGAGTAAAATGATGTAGTTAGGTGCTGTCGAGTATGACTCATAGCAACCCTATGAACAACAGATTTGAACCTTATCCTGTCCTGTACCAATCTCACAATCTCTGAAACACTCAGTCCCATTGCTGCAGTCACTGTGTCAATTCACTTGGTTGAGGATCTTCCTGTCTTTGCCATGCCCCCATCTTTCCAAGCATGCTCCAAGGAATAGCTTTTTCTAGCAACTTGGCCAAAGTATGCAAGGTGAAGTTTTGTTATCTTTGTCTCCAAGGAGCATTCTGGCTGCACCTTCCCCATATCTGTTTTTCTTTTGGAAGTCCATGGGATACTAAGTTCTCTTCTCCAACACCACAGTTCAAAGGCCTTAATTTTTCTTCTTCCTTTTTCATTGTTTAGCTTTTAGCAGCATAGCAGGTGACTGAAAAGATCATAATCCGAACAAAGTGCACCATAGTCCTCAAATGAACATTATTATTCCACAGTAATTTGGAGAGGTCACTCAAACAATCCATCTCCTAATCTCCTGATTGCTGGTACCAAGTGTATTCATTGTGGATCTAAGCAAGATGAGGTTGTTGACAGTTTCAACTTTTTTCCTCCATCTCTTAGGATGCTTACTGGTCCAGTGGTGAGAATTTTTGTTTTCTTGACATTGATATGCAATCTATACTGAAGGCTGCAGTGTTTGATCTTCTGAGGCAAGTATTTCAAGTCCTCCTCACTTTCAGCAAGCAGAATTGTGTCATCTGTATACCAATTGTGATTCCTCCAATCCTTATGCCACATCCTTTATCTTAGAGTCCAGAATCTTGAATAATTTTCTCAGCATACAGATTGAATAAGTATGGTGAAAGGACACATCCTTGACTCACATTTTTCTAAATTTTAAACCATGCAGCGTTCTCTTGCTCTGTCCACACGACAGACTCTTGGTCTAAGTCTAGGTTTTGCAAGAGCAACAGCTCTGAGAACACTTTGGAAGTGTTCTGGGATTCCCATTTTTCTCAATATGAGCCATACTTTTTTTATGATACACATATTCAAAAAACTTTGCATAGTTAATAAAGCAAAAACAGGCAATCTTCTGGGATTCTTTTATTTCAGCCAGTAACATCTGACATCAGCAATGACACCCCCGCTGCTACAGCCAGCCTGAACTTCTGGCAGTTTCTATATACTGTTTAAGGTGTTTTTAAATGATTTTTAGCAACAATTTGCTTGTATGTAATATTAATGATACTGTTTGATAATTTCCATTTTCTCTTAGGCCACCTTTCTTAAGAATGGAAACAATATGGATCTCTTCTAGTTGGCAAGCCAGGCAGTTATCCTTCAAATTTCCTGGGAGTCTGGTCAGCATGTCCAGGGCTGTACTTGTCATTTGAAACATACCAACATATATCCCATACATTTCTAGGGCTTTATTGCTTTGCTGAAATATAACCAAAATATAACCTTAAATCTATCCCACTTGAATTAATAAATCATTTTAAGAATAGTTTTGAAACCCTGAACACCAATGATCAGAGACAAGGTAAGTTGTGGCATGACATCAGGAATAACATCCATGAAAAGATCACTAAAATGTCAGAGAAAGAAAGAAAATAAAAATTGATGCCAGAAAAGACCATGAAGATTGTGTGAGAGCACTGAGAAGCTGAAACAAAGGGAAGAGTTGTTGAAATAATACATTATTACATGAAACAATAAGAAACCTGGAGAGGTGAAAGAATATCCCTCGCTCATGGATAGGAAGACTCAATAATGTGAAAATGACAGTATTTCCAAAGACAATTTACATGTTCAATGCAATCCCAATACAAATACCAATTCTATTCTTCAATGAGATGGAAAAGGCAATCTCCAATTTCATATGGAATGGAAAGAGGACCTAAATAAGCAAAGCACTCCTTAAAAAGAGAAACAAAGTAGGAGGCATCTCACTCCCTGATTTCAAATCCTACTACACTGCCCTGGTGGTCATGATAGCATGGTACTGGTACAATGACAGACACATAGATCAACGGAATAGAATTTAAAATCCAGAAATCAGCTCATCTACCTAGGGTCAACTGATTTTTGACAAGGAGATGAAATCAGTAAAAAGGGGAAATGTCAGTCTTTTTATCAAATAGTGCTGGCCAAATTGGAAAACTATCTGCAGAAAACTCAAGCAAGATCCACACCTCACTCCATATACAAAAACCAATTCAAAGTGGATTTTGGAACTAGGATAAAACCAAGGACTATAAACTTCATTAAAGAAAAGCTTGGAAGAACTCTAGAAGTCCTAATCCTCAACATAGATAGTCTTCCAAGCATCCTCGATAATCTACAACCAGGAGAGGATAAAATAGATGAATGGGACCTTCTAAGAATCAAATCCCTATGCACATCCAAAAACTTTTCCAACGAGGTAAAAAGAGAAGCCATAGACTGGGAAAAAATATTTGGCAATGACATCTCAGGCAAGGGACTTATTATCTAGAATTTATAAAATACTTGAACACCAAAACAAGATAAGGGTAAACAACCCAGTTGCAAAATGGGTACAGGATATGAACAGACACTTCACCAAAGAAGACATTCAGATGGCCAACAAATACATGAAGTAATGTTTAAAATCCCTAGCTCTAAGAAAGATGCAAATAAAAACAACTGCTAGATATCATCTCACCCCAGTAAGAACAGCAAAATTCATCAGAACAGCAAACAACAAATGCTGGCGAGGTTGTGGAGAAAATGGAACCCTTATTCACTGTTGGTGGAAGTGTGAAATGGTGCAACCACTATGGAAGGCAGTAGGGCGCTTTCTCAAAATGTTGCAAATAGAAATACCATTTGACCTAGCAATTCCACTACTGGGAATTTACTCTAAAGAAACCGTAACTGCCACACAAGCAGATATACGCACACCCATGTTTATTGTGGCTTTGTTCGCAATAGTAAAGAGCTGGAAACAACCCAAGTGCCCATCAACAAACGAATGGATAGAGAAGCTCTGGTATACTTTCACAATGAAATACTATGCAGCATTTAAAAAACAAGGAACCCATGAAATGTTATGCAAAATGGATGACCCTGGGAGGACATTATGCTGAGTGAAATATCTCAGTCACAAAAGGATAAATATTGCATAAGACCACTGTTGTAAAATGGGACTGACATCGGGGTTGAGGGAAGACAGAGAAGGAGGGGAGGAACGATGTATGATGCTTTGGAAAAGATGAGAAAGAGAACTGTTTAAAAGAGATATATGATTGGGTATTCTTGTCATGACAGGAGTCCAGAATGAAGGCAGCACAGTGCAGTGGACTTTGGGGGAAGGATTGCAAAACAACAAAAAAGATTTTCTTTTACTTTTCAAGGAGAAGAGTGAATTGGGGATGAGGGCAGGGAGAAAAGTACAACAGTGAATGACTGGAAACCCTTAATCTCTGTAAACTTTCATTAAAATTAATAAAAAAAAATTGGTGAAATACAACATGGATGAATCTAAAAAAATTATACTGATACAAGAGAAATTATAAGACCACTAATATTAAAAGCTAAGAAAAGGTTTGCATACAGCTAGAGTAAATCCTGGAGAGCTGACAGCAATGAGAAGAGAGGGAGAGGGGAGCAAAATCAAGAAATAGACAAGTTGGGGGAAGGGAAAAAAATAAGGGTTTGTTATATATTCAATCAATTAATTAATAATATTAATGAATTGTGGGAGTTCTAGTGAGAGGAAACTGCACTACCGTCCTGAAGGCACACAGTTCAAATTCACGAGCAGCTCTGTGGGAGAAGGATGGGTCATCTCCTCCCCTGCTATTTATTGCCTCTGCTATTTATTGCCTCTGAAAACCCTCTGGAGGGTTAGCTATGGGTGGGTTCTGACTCAATGGCACACAACAACAATAATCAATGAATTAATTGTAATTGGCACTCTCTTAGTCTATGGTAAAGAGCTGCACTGTCAGCCCAAAAAAGGTTTGATCCACCAGCTACCTCTTCACATTCTTAACAGCACTTGTTTGAAGTCATATTGAC